GCGCAAGCCGGCAAACCCTCGGCCCTGCGCCCGCTCATCTACCCAGTGGTCCAGATCACCCTCGGCGCGATGCGCCTGATCCCGACGGCCCAATACTTCCCGCTCCGCTTCCAGCTGACCCGCGCCCTGCTGCGCCTCTCCCGCGCCACAGGCACCTACATCCCGCTCGCCTCCGCCCTCCTGGAGGTCCTCAACCTCGCCGAGATGCGCAAGCCCCCGAAGACGAGCACCCTGCGCCAGCTGGACTTCAGCACGGCCATCCGGGCGCCCAAATCCTACCTGCGCACGCGCGTGTACCAGGACGGCGTCGGCGAGCAGGTCGCCGAGCTCCTCTCCGAGTTCTTTGTGCTGTGGACCAAGCACATCGCCTTCCCCGAGCTGAGCGTCCCCGTCGTCGTCGCCCTCAAGCGCTGGCTCAAGCAGGTCAGCGCCCGCTCCGGCGGCAACAAGAACACCAAGATCAACCAGATGATCCTGCTGCTCGTGCAAAAGGTCGAGGCCAACGCCCGCTGGATCGAGGAGAAGCGTCTCGCTGTCACTTATACCCCCCGCAACCGCGCCGAGGTCGAGTCCTTCCTTAAGGATGTCGACTGGGAGAGTTCCCCGCTCGGCGCCTTTGTTAAGTCCCAGCGGAAGCTTCGCGAGGAGAAGGCCGCGCTGCTGGAGCAGGGCCGATTGGAGGAGGAGAAGCGGCGCGCCGAGGAGAAGGCGGAGGCTGCGAGGGATGTGATTATGGATGATGTTATTAGTGAGAATGATGAGAGTAGTGAGGACGATGACGACGAGGAGGAGGTGGAGGTGGATGGTGTGGATGCTTCTTCTGATGAGGAGGGTAGTGAGGAGGAGGAAGAGGAGGAAGAGGAAGAGGAAGAAGACGAGGATGAGTTGGAGTTCGAAGAAGAGGAGGATTAGATTTCATCCTCGAGTTTTTTTTTTTCTTCATGTTGGTGTTTGTTTATACCTTATACTCTATGTAGCTATCGGGAAACCCACTGCGTCCAATTTTTTTGATGTCAATATGAAAAGTTCAAGATCAATTTTTGCTACATCTCTACCAGTAGATTTTGTGCTACCACCAGAGGATAATAGCCAACGAGTAACTCGGAACGTAAATAACATTGAACTTTTATGACTATCGATATAGTCGGAAATCAGGAGAAACACACCAAGGAACACAATCTGAGAAGCAGAGCAGTAGCCAAAACATGAAGATCAAATCACAAATCCCAAGCAAATCAGGCCCTCACACGGGACAATCCCACTCATCTCCGACAGTTTACATTCTGGTGCCCACGATCTAAACCGACCCAATGGGCATCTTCTCCGCCCCCCACGCACGAGACTGTTCCCGCCGCATCGTCGCATCCTCTTCCTCCGCCCACTCCAGCGACTCGTTGGGGAGCATGACGGCGCGATCGATGGCGACGGGGAGGCCCCGGTGGCGACCGCGCAGGGTCACCGCCGCCAGGATCAGCTTGCTGATGGGGTGCCAGGCGCCGCAGAAGGAGGCGTTCGAGCCCGGGTAGCCGACGCTGACACCCACGCAGCCGTAGGCGGAGACGGTCTCAAAGATGATGTTGAAGGTCGAGAAGGCGACGGGCTGCCTTGAGAAGTGGTTGGATTCCGCGACGCTGATCAGGAAGACGGCCAGCGCGATCCACCAGAGATCGTGGCTCAGCTGGGAGCGCAGCTGCTGGTGGACAAAGTAGCTCCGCGAGGCTTCGGGGCTGGATCCGTTCCGGCGGCCGAGCATGCGGTGTCGGATCAGTTGGATCACGAGGTTGGGCGGCGGGCGCGACTCTTCCTCGCCGTCGGTTGGTTCGTGGGCGTAGATGCCCAGGGACCGTTCTTCGTAGACATTTGTAGTTCTAGACGGTTGTAAGAATGGATTGACCCAGGTTTTGTGGGGGACGGTTGGACAAACCTCATAGTGAGCAGCACGGGGTATGCTGATACATACTATAGATAACGGTTAGTCTATGGCACAGCTAAGAGCTTTTTTGGAAGAACGAACCATCATAAGAACTAAGAGATGTTAGCATTGTCACCAATGTAAAGTTCAGAAAAGTGCCTACCATATAGAACAAGCAACCCCTGACGGAGATCGGCTATAGTCACAACATAAAAACCTCCCGCACGAACAGCTGCAGACAGAATCGCTTAGCCTAGGCTCAATGAACAAACGGTTTTGTGCAACTTACCAGAAGCCTGGAATAGACCATCGAGAACCCGATAGCCTGCGGGTAAGCTCTCAATCTCTTGGTTGCCAATGGCAAGAACCTCGAAGGCCGCCCAGTCTATAGCGTTGAAAATGATAATAGTGGCCAGGAGGAACCATGTATGGCGTCTCGGAAAGAGGTTGGTATACACCTCGACGAGGTTAGTCTATTATACATAGATGATTGTAAGTTGCACATACTCTTCGAGGATGATCAAGGATGAAGTCCAGAGTGACTCTCCACGTGGCCCACGATGGGGAGTTTGGCAGCCCGCATTTCATGACCCAGATAATGAAACGCAGGAAACACGGATAAAGAGTGTTTCCGGCCAAAATAAGGAAGCTCATGGTGAGCAATGGGTAAGCACTGATGATGGAGTCAGCTGACTTTCGAGCTACAACGTCACGATCAGTAGAAATACCTTCTTTGGAATGCAACCATGTTGGCATCCAATAGCGACATGCCACTGTTGACAAAAGCGGATACCGCGAAGAAGGCGCCTGTCCAAAAAGGCGACAGCCCGTTCTCTCGAGCTTTTTCTGGGTGATTGACAGCGACCCAAGTGCCCATCCCACCCATTCCACAGATGACGAACACGACCCAGTACAGAGTCACAATGACCAGTAGAAAGGACACGGCTCTGTACTCAACGCCTCCTAGTTTCTCTCGCTCCTCGGGGGTAAGCCCGTGAAATTGAGAATTGCGTGAAATGAGGCCCTTAGACGCGAAATACTTCTGCGTTCCCTTCAGAATGCCCTTCAGCGCAGGCATATTGTCTTCTTCCTCCTCTCGCTGTGGCGACGGCGGAGCGACATCCCTAGGGTGATTGTTCAGATCCATACGAGCCCCGACCCCTACCATGGGAAAGACGCGATGGTGGTGCTGATGTCGGTTTTTCAAATGACCAAGAGTGACCTGGTCATCATCAATCCAATGGATCTGGTCCTCGTCTGAGGACGACGCGATCGCTTCTGCAGCTGTGACACGGGCTTCTGCCGTAACCTTGGATTTGTCAAGAACAAATTCACCTAACTTAAGTGACTGCTCATGCTCTTCGATCACATTCTCATTAATGGGCTCCAATCGAGCGATTTGGCTCGAATTCTCAGTTGACGAAGCGCTTCTTCTTTTACGCTCGTCCACGATGTGTTTGAACTTGGACTGGAAGGCATTTCTTCGAACGAAGAGCACCGTGATGGAGATCATAATTCCATGTCCCAGCAGGAGCAGCGCGAAGAGGATGGATTGCTGGAACGAATTCAACTTGGACAAATCCACCTGGTCAAAAGTCAGAGGATGTTCTTGACGGGGCTGGACTCGAGAAATGCTGAGAACGTACAGTATTCAGCCCAGCGCCGGTCATGGCACTGACGCACATGAATAAAGCGTCGACATAGGCAATACTGCGCGCAGGGGTGGCAGAACCCCAGAAGATAGCACTGCATATCAAGGGCGTCGCAATGAAGTAGGCATAATGAAGCGTGAGGAAGTTGAAGGGCGGAAGCACCGCCATAATGCTCCGTCCGAGGAACCGTCGCGAGTCCCAGTCTGTGATGATGGCAAGTTAGGGATTGTATGTCAAGTCAACGCTGCTGATCCTCAGGGCGTCATGTTCTAGGGCCGTTCTAGCCTCCAAATCCTGCTTCCATCATTCCAGATGCAAGGGAAAGTGAGACAAACTATGGGGAGGAGATACATAATCCCAATCCCATGCAAGGTCGAAACTTACTTGTCATCTTAATGGATCAAATTATCCGAGTATATTGCAATTTATAGATGGATGAATTAGGCCTCGCTGGCAACGAAGCAGGAGCCCTGGGCCTCGAGCTACCGGCTCCGTATATCGTAATGAAAACCAATCGAGCTTTGGTTGTTGAATGTCTCTTATCTGGTGATTGGAGGGGGGAGGGGAAGCGCACACCGCTACCCACAAGGACTTTGCAAAATCTGTATCAATCGTAATTTTATCCGAAATTTCATTGTTTGTATCCTTGTGTGATGCGCTGTAAAGCAGTTGAAAGAAGTCACCAACGGAGAGATGACTTGGAAAGTAGAGAAAAAGTGGTTGAATAGGTGCGGAATGGTGGTGGTGAGAATTGTGGGCGGAATTGTGGCGGTTGTTGTATAGTAGTAGTAGTAGTAGTAGTAGTAGTAGTAGTAGTAGTAGTAGTAGTAGTAGTAGTAGTAGTAGTAGTAGTAGTAGTAGTAGTGGTATAGGAGCGGCACGGCTAGCAGGGATCCGGAAATGCTAGTACTCAAGAATAATCGGCAGTTCCGTTATCGACAAGATTTAGACAGACAGTCAATTTGCAAGTGTAGTGTTTGAATCGCGTAGATCTTTGCAGAAAACTTCTTAGATGAGCAAAGTCTGGGGATAATCGGGGGCAAAGCGTATGTTATTCCATTTTTAAAGACCTTCACGGTAGACAAGAATGAGTTGGTTGAAAGAGTTACGAATTGGGAACTGGAAAAGTCAAGAGGGGAAAAGGAACAGAGCGAGCGAGAGAGAAAAGGGCAAAAAGTCTGGTGTGGAAAGGCGGCGGGCGTAGGCGGGCCGAGAATCCAGAACTAAAGGCGGACTTGGCTTCTTCACCAACCGTTGGGCCACTCGTAAGGCTGGCGATCGATCAAAATGAAACGGCCAATACACGTCACTCCAACCCTCGACACGATGGAAAAATTCGATGCTTTTCGACTGGCTTAATTACTCAATTGCTCGAGTATTGTTTTCCAACTAATGGATCACACACATAACCACCCATATAAATCAATCAACTGGCCTCATTCAGTTTCTCCAGTGTCTTGGACCACTTCGTGGCGAACCCAATGCCCACTTTTACCCCCCTTCTTCTCCAGTAACTTCACGCCACCGATCACCATGCCCTTATCCACCGCTTTCAGCATATCGTACACTGTCAAAGCAGCTCCCATCGTAGCAGTCATCGCTTCCATCTCGACCCCCGTTCGTCCCAGGCAGCTCACGGTAGCCGTGACGTGCATCGCCCCATGACCCATTGAGCCGTCCGATGCACGCGCTGCCGCAGCATCAGGGTCCAGTAGCTTCACGTCCACCTCGACGCCAGTGATGCCAATCCCTGGGTGACAGAGGGGGACCAGATCCGGGGTTTTCTTGGCAGCCATAATGCCGGCGATCCGCGCGACACTGAAGACGTCTCCCTTCTTTGTACCACGGCCCTCTCGTAGGATTTCCCACGGCCGCGGGTTGGAGAATTGCACCACACAAGTAGCGGTGGCTTGACGTTTCGTTACCGGCTTCTCTGCAATCTTGGTCATGTGCACGTGCTGCGAGCTGTTAAGATGAGGCAAGTCTGGATCAGAGGCTGTGGAAAGGGAGATCTTGGTGTCTTCTCTTTCCATATCTGGGTTTGTCCGTTGGGAGTCTGCAACAGACGGGTTGTCATTACGGGCACGAGAGTAATGTCGAACTTGCGCGGCAACCTGTGGACCAGAGGAGAGTAGGTGTACAGGAATCCTTCCCCATGCAGGTGATGCCAACCTGGTTCGTTGATTGTACGAAGAAGTGGCAGTGATCGGATTGCCCGTAATTCCATTATCTATAACCCATCCATCAGCACGCATCCCAAGATCTCAGTCATCATATAGTTTCCAAAACCAAATCACAGCTATGAACCGCCTGATTCACGAAACGGACTGAGACACCTTCTACATGCATTGATCATAATTCATGAAAGTCATTCGCCCAAATGCAAATACCCAAAAGAAAAGGAGGCCGCGCCTACCCACCGATGAGGATCATAGGGCGGTTTTTCATGTTCTTCAACTCGCCCATGCCAGCATGTTTCGCTTTCTTGCGTTTTAACGCCATGCCAATGATATCGAGCAATTCTTGTTCTCGCCGTGGGACTTCAGTCGCGTTGGCCGCAGATTCCAAGAGTCGCAGATTCTTCATGGTGTCTTCATCCATAGGCTCGCCATTGTTCTCTCTCCTAATGATATCGCGGAGCGACACCTCTGCATTGCCAAACAAGCAGACCTTGAGGTTCCCGTCACAAGTAATGCGCAAACGATTACAGGTTCCGCAGAAGTTGTGGGTCATGCTGGTAATGAACCCAATACGACCCTGAAAGCCTGGTACTTGATACGTTTTGCTGGTGTCATTCTTATGATCTGCAACCTTCTCCAACGCGGGGTACTTCTCCCGAATGATAGCCAGCATCTCCTGGTAGGAGACCATCTTGCCCTGGCTCCATTTGTTGCCGTCAAACGGCATGTACTCGATGAAGCGCACTTCAATGGGATTTTCACGCCCCATTTCAATGAACGGGATAATCTCCCGGTCGTTGAGCCCACGCATCACAACACAGTTGATTTTCAACTTGATTCCCGCCCCCATCTTGTTCATCTCGAGAATGCGGTCGATGCTCTTCATCACGGCATCGAAGCCCTTCCTCCTCGTCATGATCTGGAACTGAAAGGGGTCCAAGGTATCAAGACTGAGGTTGACTCCAGTAAGTCCTGCCTCGGCCATGGCGTCCAGTTTGCGGTGCAGGGAGATTCCATTCGTCGTTAAGCATAGCTCACGGAGACCGTTCCGCCGCAGCTCGCCGATGGACTGCATTAATGGTACGATATCCTTCCGGACGGTGGGCTCACCGCCAGTCAAACGGATCTTTGTGACACCTTGCGCGACAAACAGCGACGATAGATAGACGATTTCGGGGGTGGTGAGGAGGCGGCTCGGTGGCGACAGCTCTATACCTTCTTCGGGCATGCAGTAGAGACATCGAAGATTGCAGCGCTCGGTCACGCTTATTCTGAGATAATCATGTTGGCGGTTGAAGCTATCAGTGAGGAACTCCGAGAAGGGTTTCGCGGACTTAAGAGCCGACCATCGCGATGCGGAGGCTTTCGAGGACGGGGAGATTTCAGTAGTGGGCAACGTTGTCGTGAGTGAGTCTGATGCGTTGGGTCGATCAACCGAGACTGGGTTCGAGGTTGTATTGTGCCTTCGAAAGTGTGGCCGAATAAGCGTGCTCGTTCGGGGATAACATCTGCGGGGAAGTGAGAGAAGGGGCGCAACTCCCCGCCTGCGCAACAAGAGTTCATTCATCCTCGACACGGATCTCGTTTCAGCGGGTATCAGATCCTGGCATCTTGCTGTACCTGCGAAGCGCTATACAGGTGCGGGTGCATGCAGGTGAAGAAATCAGGGACTCGAGAGGTGTTTGTTAGATGAATGGCTGAGGGGGAATGTCTTATCATCGCGGGCGCTGGGATTCGCCGCCATCTCCGCGGGTTTTCGGGGTTTGCCGCTAACCGGTGGGTCACGTGCTATCAGGATATCTTTTCTTGACATCGACCATTTGACAATAATAACGTCGGATCTACTAAGCAGAATACTCGTATCAATCTGATTATCTGACCTCTTGGCACACGAAACTACAGAGCAGCCCCCTAGCTCATTGTTGGCAGCATTTTTTGAACTGCCTTCGCCAAGCTTCGTTCGTACTGCCACACACCTTCTTCTTGCTCTCGGAGCTTTCCTGATTTCAGTACATGTACGACACGTCGTTGGCTGGAGAATGTATTCGATGCCTTGTCCTCCTCAGATTCCTCGTCTCTGCCCTCTTCCAGAGCTCGCTTGCCTTCAATCACGGAACGTACCATATATCGGTCATGGGACACAAGCAAGATAGCCCCATCGAAACTAGAAAGTGCAGCAGAAAGAGCCGTCACGGTATCGAAATCCAAATGGGTTGTAACTTCATCCAGTATTAACAGCTGTGGACGGGTCCAAATGACCCTCGCCAAAGCCAGTCGAACCTAATCGATTAGAGTTGTTTAATCACCTATGGCAGAAGGTTGGGGTGTCTATCTGTCACTTACTAGTTGGCCCCCTGATAGTCGACAGACGGGTACATCAGACACAACTCTACCCTGGAGACCTAATGATGACAAAAGACCTCTGAGTTCGCCTTCATTGAGTGCGCCATTGACCTCTGATGCCATCAGCGTTAAAGCCGTCATATCAAGCTTCGACCGGCCTTGTTTCTGAAGCTCTTCGATCGAATGCTGTGCATAGTACCCGTGCTTCAGTCTCGGATGTCTCAATATTTTGCCATGCGTTGGTGCTGCGCTGCCAGTCAAGAGACGTATCAGCGTCGACTTTCCGCATCCGTTGAGACCCATGATGCCCACGCGATCTCCCATGTGTATCACCAATTCGATACCATCAAGCACAGAGGCCTGCTGCTTGTTGTATCGGAACCAAATCCCTTCCATAGAGACCAAAGGACCGGGGAATCGTAGCTCGGTTGCTGAGGGTAGAACAATGGACGGTTTTCTCTCGTCCACTGGCACCTCGATCTCTGCCCGCGCGGTCAGGTGAAAACCAACCAGGTCCCGATTCAGCTTGAAACGGCCGCCGTTGGCACTGACTTGTACGCCCATGCGATTGTCAATCTTCTTCTGTCGCGACTTGGCCTGACGTAATTTGTTCTCGTCACCTGTCTTCTTGCCTACCTTGATGTTTTCGCGGATGGTGGCCTCCATGTGTGCGGTTTGGCGTTCCTGTGCTTCCTTCATGCGGCCCCAGCGTAGCTTCTGATCTTCGACGTCTTTCTCGTACGCAGACAGGTTTCCTCTGAAGTAGGTAAGCTTCTGGTCTCTGAGGATAATAATCTCCTCGCAGACGGCATTCACGAAATCTCTATCGTGCGAGACCATGAGAATTGTTGTCTGCGAACTTTCACGGAGCCCTTGGAGATAGTTCTCCAGCCAAATGATTCCTAAGAGATCGAGATAGTTGGTCGGTTCGTCGAGGATCATGATATCGGGAGATTGTATCAACACGCTAGCCAGCATGCATCGCATCCGCCAGCCGCCGGACAACTGGCAAACAGGCTTGCAAAGTATCTCTTCGTGGAATCCTAAACCACGAAGAATCTGACGAGCTTGCTGCTCAGTATCGACAAGCGTCATCTAAAGCATTCAGTGATCAGTAATGGTCAAGTTGAGATGATATCGAAACTCACAGCCTCAACCTTAGACTGCAACTCTTGCAAAACCTCCATTGCTGCTTGCGTGTCTTTCTGTATCGTGTCGGCATCGATAGATTCCTTCGCCTGGTTTAACCTAGAGCAAGAAATGTCTTTAGCTCAAATCCTTCTTGACTCAGATCCTGAACGAATCCTGGAACTTACAACTCCAGCGATGCCTCCAATCTCGCTTCAGCGGATCTCAATTCTTTCCGTGCTTGTAACCCTCGCGCTCCACTCCTCAGACTGGCCATCTTCTGTGCTAGGAAGAGCTGCTTCTCCACGTCATCATGGCGTACTGTGCGAATAGCGTTCACAGGCTGTAGCGGATCGTCGGACTCGAAACTCTTAGACAAGACTTGAAGGGTATATAGGTCAGGAACACTGCGGCGCGGATAAAACATGCGAGGATTCGCGGGACTCACTATTCACCTTCTTCATGATCTCATTCTTATATTCATCGCCTGCCAGCACATACCCAAAGACCGGTAGATGCTGTCTCTTGTCGCTCCTATCCTCTTGAGCTTCCTCATCACTGCCGTCATCCGTCTGCTGCAAGATAGCAATGCGCGTAGCATGTGGGATCCCAGGTACCAACTTGTCGGCGATAGCTCGCAGTAGTGCTATCGAAAATAAAATCAGTATTCGTTCAAGGGCCGTCCTGCCACGGATGACCCGGGCCCGTGAGGACATTGGTAGACAACGCACTTGACTTTCCGGTCCCGTTACGACCTACTAGTCCATAGTGCAAACCTGCTTTGAGACGCAGATGCGCATCAGAGATCAGTTCCTTCGCTTCAGCCTTGGCCTTTCGTTTCGATTTGAGGTCTGTTGCGGCGGATTCGGCATGGTTTTGTGGCGAAGATAGAGCAATCGTGATTCCTTCTACATCCACCTATCGTAACCATGAAGCTAGGATTAGAAATAAACGCTTGAATGCAGATAGACATGGGTGAGGAAAAGCTACCTCTTTTGAGGCTTGATCAAGGACGTGGAAGCGGGTTTGCTTGCAAGTTGCGATTATTGTGGGATGCATGATAGCTATCGAGGTAAGGATAACAATGGTGAGGGTATATTAGAGATAAGAGAGTGAAATTTGTCAAGCAATATTGATTCTCTTGTGAGTGGTGAACGCAATGTCTCTGGAGATTGTCCTATGGTATGCTGCCTGCATATATACATCGTCCACGTAGTTCATGCAAGCGAGTAATGAACAATGTGAATCCCGTCGCCAAGTCTAAAACTCATTCGACATTGACTAAGAAAATGATTCAGAGTGTTTCTCAAGGAGACTAAACTCCACTGTCTTGGGTCCTTTGAGTCAACCGGATGTTAATCATTCTCTGATGATGTCTCTCAAGACTATGGAAAGTGCCGTCGGGGTCCGAAAGAGGAATAGCCGCTGCGTATCATGGATTGGCTTTCGCCCCTTGACGGCCGAGGCTTTGCTCTGAACACAGGATGAACGCAGGGACCGTACTTTTCTGCAGCAGTCATTTTCCGGTCCTCTTTGACGTTGCCATTCATGTTGATGTGCATAGGTTGGTTCAGGAGAAGACTTGGGCGCTGTCCCATCTAGACTGAGTTTCAGTACATGGTTGCGAGTATTCGGCCAGTATTGTATGAAAACAGGACCGACACTTCTTTCGACCTTCTTCTGAAAAGGAAGAGTCAAGATCTCTCAAAGACGATATGATGGTCTGCGTCAACTGGCGTACCATCATGGCTGCCTTCCAAGAACCAAGACAGTAACTAAGGCATGTCCTTCATGGACCACCGGGTAGCCGAAGTCGACGCGATAGACCAGAAGATGCAAAGAAGCGTTGATACCAAGCTGACTCGCTTAGATAAAGTAGGATTCAGCGACGAAGAGAGTCTTTACTATCGAGCACTCAGCCATGGAACTAATTGGCGCATGTAAGACAGTAGTTGACAAGCTGACTGAGTATTGAAGAGCATCAAATGTCGCCAATGACTTGAATGCAGTTACCACAGTTTGTGTGTCCAAGTGAGATATGCACAGGTCAACACTAAACCAGCTCGAGTCTTGAATCTTGAAAGATGGTTCTTTGATCTCGTCGTTGAAGTTATAGCATTCCCGAAAGCCCTGAAGTTTTGTTGAACAAGTCAAACACAAGAGGCCTCGAATCTGCCATGCATTGTCTATTGTCTCGCTTCAAGTCAATCTACGTCTACCCCGGCCTGAGAACAGTGAGTACCTCCATGCAGCTCGCTCACCACCAATGATGACATGTTCCAATAACATACTGCATTGGACGTATTCAATCATTTCTCAATCGATCGAGCACACCCAAGCATAATAATATTATCCAACGTGATAATGATGATTGAAACAAGGTACTGTACCTAAACTCTCCCATCGGCGACCACGGATAGAGGGCCTCGATCTCCCCGCGTGGCAACCGAACAACAAGAATGAGATCGATCGATCAGCCATCCGAGAGCAATAAATGATATGATTCTTGCATCACGACGCCCCAAAGTCTTTCTTTTCGACGAGTTTCCAAATCTGATGTCAAACGGACAACATCATGACTTCATCCTTGTTACCCGGAACAGTTATAAGGACCAGCTCAAGCATGACCAGAACCTCAAATTCATCCAAGGAATAACCAATCTATCCCAACATCTACCAAAATAACCTTACCACACGAGCCAACTATACACCATTTAACAAACCAACACCATGGCCTCCAACACCAACCCCGGAAACTTCTCCAACCGCTCCCACGAGGAGGTTCAGAACATCGCCCGCAAGGGCGGCCAGTCGAGCCACGCCGGCGGATTTGCGAGTATGGATCCGGAGAAGCAGGTATGTCCTGATCCCCCATCCTATCTCTACATGTCAAACCCGGGAGCCTCGACAATTCTAACAAAGTATCTTAGCGCAACATCGCCTCACAGGGCGGCCACGCTTCCAGCGGAAGCTTCAAGCCCGGCGACCCCAAAGCCCGTGCTGCGGGACAGAAGGGCGGTTCGAAATCCCAGTACGACCAGGAGACTCCTGATGAATAAATTCTGTGTCTAGTTGACGGGCGGGGATTATGATGATTATGCTATGTTTTGAGATGCGATTGACGATGTAACAATATGATGTATGATATTGACTTTTTATCGGACGAATGCTACTAACGCCACTAATGTGAGCGAGTGATCGATCTTTTTCTGTGTGT